TCGCATCGACTGAATCCCACTTGCTGCGATCCCCACTGTCGTCTGCACACTTCGTGCTTGCGTGCCCCCTGGTGACCGGGATGTGGTTTGGCCCTTCGCGCTGTATGCGCTTGAATTGTCCTTTCGCGACTCTTCGCTTGTCTTGGCCCCTGGCCCCGGCGGTGTATTGAATGCGTTGCTGCGCCATCTTGTACCCGCAGCCCGCTGCTCGCTCAGAACGATGAGTGGCACCTCCCTTGCTGACGGCAGCCTGCGAAGTTCCTGGGAAACGGGGGACACTACTCGCATCCGCAGAACACGGGAAGAACGCATGCCGCACGGAGAGTTGTCGACCCTCCCGCTGCTCTCTGTCCTGCTAGGGGTGAGCGAGGGACTGGTCCACCGCCGCCTGTCAGCGCTGCTGGCACGCCACCGCCGTCAGCCTCGATTAACGCCACGACGCACGGTCTCCGACGTGGTGACGCCTGTCCGTGACAAAACGGCACGAGGGCCGAACGAGCGCATCGCCGTGGAGTGTGGGCGTCGCAGGGGCGGCGTCCCGCGCTGCACCCTCACCGTCGCCGCTCTCTCGCAGTCCCGACCGGCATCTCGACTGCGTTCGGCACCGTTGACGATGGGCGAGTGCTGGCTGCGCCCTGCGGCCTCCCGCGCCTGTACTGTCGAGCCCAACACTGGTTGCGCAGCCACCTGGGAGGCGGCCGCGTTGGGGTGAGTGATCGCAAACAATATTTCCGACAGTAGCTCGCCTCAGCCGGGGCAGCCCACTCCAGCACGTGGACAACACTGGTACGAGGAACACTTGTTTAGACGAGTGTGAGCTGCTGCCGTGCGTGGTGCATGGACTATTTGATTGTGTGGGGAGGTGCATGGAGTGACGAATACTTCTGTTTGGCGTGTCGCGGTGTGTTGGAATGATGGTTGGAAAACATGTGAGGGGTGTTGTGTGTAGTTTGTGTGTCTTCTCTGGTGGAGCCGACATGTGTGCGGGATTGTGGCATTGCTGGCTGACAGTTCCACGTCACTTTTCGGCATTCCTGGATGTGCTGAGGAATGACGGCTGGCGACCAGCGTGTTGGTGCTGCTGGTGGGAATAAGTGCACGAGGAATTGGCCATTTTCTCTTTCCCATGCTGGAGCCGATGAACTGGCACGAGGGCACCGGCCGCAGGCTGCCTGCCAGCACGTGTGAGCAGCGGATCCATGCACACACCGACGCTCATCGCAAGAGCCTGTGTGGTCACAGTGGCTTTTGTGGCGTGCTTTTATGGTCGCCATCCCGTCGGAGAATGTGTGAAGCAAACGGCTGACTGCACACGAGGAAAATAAGTGCGTGCACTGTGCCGTGTTTCGGCGTCGATGGCAGAGCGGCAGGAGGCCCGTGCTGGCAACTGAGATCTTTGCGTGGCGAGGGATGTCGGTGTTGATTTTGGATCGTCGAGGGTGAAATGAATTTGCTGCTGCCCGTGTGTGTGGCCACTCCGGCAGAGAGCGAACACAAAAGGGAGGGATGCAGGCGCTGCGTGTGTGTGTGCAGGTGCCATGCAACAACGTCACAACAAACATGCTGCGACTCGGTGACCCTCACATCGCTGTGGTCCTCATGAACAGCCCGGGCACGGCCCGCATCGATGCACTTCGTGGACGGAGTGAGGCATCTTTTGAGGCGCTGCAGGGAGCAGGATGTGTTGACGCAGCCACGACGTGCATGGAGTGTCACGATGGCACAGCCGGCTGTGGCTGGTGGAATATTTGCTTCTCGGAGGCAACAGAGAGAGAGGGTGAGAGCTGCTGCTGCTGACGTCGTTGCTGCCTTTTCTGGCCTCCCATGCCGATTATTGTCTGTCCGCTGATCATGGGTGGTGTGCCTCCACTAGTGACGTCGTCTGCAGGCATTCCACAGCACCAGCGAAACACACATCATGTCGCATGCTTTGGCTGTGGATGTGGTGTCGTGAATGCAGCCGGCATTATTTTGCCCGACTCCTTTTCACTGCCTTGCGATAAATAGATGCGTCGCCGCCCGAGTCATTCACTGCAGCTCCGTGTGTTGTGCTGCCGGCACAATACTCTCGTGTTGTCTGGCGCCTGGCTGACAGTCAAGCACCACTGCGCTGGGACATGCAGGGATGCGGCGGCCACACGAGCGGATGTATTGTGGCACAATCAAATGCGTAAAATACGCGGAATCACAGCGGCTGCAATAATATCGACGGTGTGGCACCACGGAATGTGTGAGGGGTGATGCATGATGAATCAGAGTGGGCGGCATGCGAGGGAAGTGCACCGCGACGGAGCGTCGCCCCGCCCTCAGCCTGCAGGGGAACGTACGCCCACAAAATATATGGTCGAGGCACCACCAAACACACATGCCCTTCTGTGCACCAATAAATAGGAGCGAAGGTGCGTTCTGGTGCGTGGGAGTCCACTCACATATTCCCATTTCCACCGCAATAAACGGCGAGGAATCAGGTGCCACAGCAACGAAGGAGGAAATAAAAACATCTATTGCAGCACTTTACCAGCGAAAAGCAGGAACAACACAAATTGAATTATTGGCTGCACCAACACAATAAAAATTCACAAGAGAAGGAAACAGTTGTGCACACTGCAGGAACCCCAACACGCGATGCAGGCATGAAGGTTTACCCTCCGCAAAAACAATAACAACATATGCAGGCATCTTCCACCCTCCAAAAAGAAACACAAGTAAATGGCTGCTTTATTCCATTCCTTGCGCTTGACTTTGCGTGTGCTGCTGCTGCTGCGGTGGTGGCTGCGCTTCCCGTGGACCAACAATCCACGTGGTGTGCGGGGATCTATTCTTTTTCATGGCTACTTTGCTGTTGTGTTGCTGTGTGCGCTGCACCTATTCTCGTGTGTGCGTGCCCTCCGTGAGGGGTGCCGACACGACGGACCGCTCTCGCCGTATGTACATGCGGTGGAGCCTTGTGTGCCGCTCCTGTTTGCTTCTCCCTCCTCCATCTGTGTGTTGGTGTTGCGGCAGGGCTGTGTGTGTGTGTGCCTGCTGCCGTGGATTGGAGTGTGTGCTGCGTGGTGTGCGGCGTACGGTGCATGCCTGGCTGCTGCCCTCTCTTCTCCTTGTGTGTGTTTGCCCTCTGTGTGTGTCTGCCGCACCTCTCGTCTCCCCTGTTGCTCTCCATGTCCCTCAGTGTGCAGATCAGCTCCACACCACTGAACGACCACACTCACGATGATGACGTGCCGTCTGCTGTGCGCCCTGTTGGTGCTTGCCCTGTGCTGCTGCCCGTCCGTGTGCGTGACAGCGACTGATGAAGATCCAAATAACGACAACTCCGGTTTATCGCCTGCTAAGCCACCTGCAGCAGGAGTTCTGGGGCAAGCAAATACTTCCACGACGTCAAGTTCAACAGGTCCGGAAGTTACGTTACGGGAACCCGAAAATCCGGAAGATGAGGGAGAAGCATCAGAAACGAGGATTGTTACCGGAAGAGGTATAAGTGGAGTGGCTATTACGCCAGGGAACTCAGATCCAACACGTTCGCCGTCTGATACAGAACAGGGACAGGGTGGATCCGGTGGGTCAGGGAGTTCAGGTACGGCGGCCGATGCGGTACATAAAAATAGTGACGACGATACGACAGACTCAACACGTGGCAATATTCCACCCACAGACCAAACAAATACGAATGCTGGCGATCCGGCCGAGAAGACCACGGCGACCACTACCACTACAACGACAACCACGACAACCACTACAACACAGGCACCAACTACCACGACTACGGAGGCGCCAACTACAACGACCACCACTCGCGCACCGTCACTTCTTCGCGAAAGCGACGGCAGCCTCAGCGGCTCTGCGTGGGTGTGTGCCCCGCTGCTGCTTGCCGCATCCGCGCTGGCGTACACCACTCTGGGCTGAAGAATTGTGTGCGGGCTGTGCGTGCCAGCACTCAACCGCGGGGAATTGTGTGCGTCCACTGTGGTCCGATGTGCTAAACAGGATATAATAATGATTGTGTTTTGCTTCACTTGCTTCCGCTGCCCTGCTGTGTGCTCCTTGCCGCTCCCCGCATCCGTCACGTTGAACGCGCCCCAGACACACTCATGTGCATGGCACGCACACAACTGATTGCGTGGAGTCGCATTTGAGGATGGGTGCGTGCGCGCTGGAGCCATGCTGTGCAGCCCTTTGTTTTGTGTGTGTTTACATTTTAACTTCATTGCTGTTCGTTTACCTGTGTTTTGTTTCTAATTGTTTTGTGTGTTTTTCTGTTTGCTTGCTGCGGGGCGTTGTGTGTTTTTGCCCTTTCACTGCTTTTAACTGCCTCATGGTGTGTGTGCGCTGCCGCTGCTGGGCTGCTGCCATTTGTGACTGTGCGGTGGCTGTGCGTGGTGTAGCGGCCGTGTCTCTCCTTTTGTTTTCTGTGCTTTTGCAGGCGGCTCCACAGCGTTGGGCGACTCCACTGTTTGTGATGATGACTGGCCGTGCCCTCTGCGTCCTGTTGGCTCCTGCAGTGATGTGCAACAGCTCGTGCGTGTTTTTGGCGGCTGCTGCGACGGTGTGTGTGTGCGGCCCGCTGGTGATGGCGCGGTGACTGCTGAGCACGCGCGGGCTGTGATGGCTGCGGAAGGAGGACCGTGGCCGGTGGCTCTGGACGAAAGGGGAACGTGAACTCTGAGGTTGACAGCAATCAGGAAGACGAGGAGGGTGGAGAAAACACGGCGGGTGAGGACCCCAATCCCACCCCCGCAGGACCACTCACTGCTCCGACGAGGCAGGATCAATCCTGCAGCGACCCACTGCGAAGTAACGATTGTAATCCGTCCGGCACTGGCAGCGCCTCTGCCGCTCAGATGCGTGCAAGTGGACCGGAGTCTTTGGGCGGAGGGCACGCTGGTGGCGGGAGGACCTCCCAGGGAAGTGAGGCTTCGGAAAAAACCGTCACGGGAGAGTCACAGTGCCAGGGACGGCAAAGGAAACACCGCAAGACGATGAAGGAGGAGAACCCGGAGCGCAACACGAGGCCGACCAAAAAACGAAAATGGCTGTGATGACTTGTTGCGCAAAACAGCAGTGGAGCAGGAGGGTCACCAGCGAGATCGCAAGGTGCGCCACGACCCGATGGTGGCGAGAATGCTCATTATTATTTTTTCCCTACTCTTACCAGCGCGTCTAGCTATACAATGCCATCCTGGTGCCGAGGAGGCGGTTGAGCAGCGGAAAAAGCTTCCTGCTATGAAGCAACTGCCATTGAGAGAACTTTTTGCTGCGTGGATCTTCCTCAATGACCGGCCGTTGGCGCGCAGCGGAGGTGCCTGGGCATTCTAGAAGCGGATGGCGAAAGGTTTCCTGCGTGTCAACTGGCGTGCCTGTGGAGGTTGGCTGATCCTGCAGTGGCGGAGACCGCTTCCTGGCACCACAGAGCGAGTAGCGGTGAGTGGCTTGGCGAATGGCACAACGCCACTTGTTGCAGGGCTGGGTAGCAAAGCATGTCAGCGGGCCCGTGTGCCATATGGGCGCGATTCCATGCTCCGTGTGTTGTCCGGTTGCCATGGTCTGCGTCGCATGCTGAGCCGCAGGCTCATTAGCATGCACTCCACAATGTCCGTAACAAAACTGCCGGTGCACGGACCGGCCGGCACGCATCAGTGTCAAGAGACGCTGCCAGATCCGGTCCTTGTTGAGGGCCGCTAGGAGAGACTGGCTTTGTGTCGCCACAAGCGGGGTTTTTACGCCTGTGGTGGATCCGAGGGATAATCAGCCACTCCAGGACCAACGAATCGATTTGCCTTACCAGGCTTTGCCTTCATTGTCATTGCGACCTTCTCCGTCTCTCCGAGTCGAGGCCGAGACACGGCAAGGGCATGTGTACCAGGGCAAGCTTCTGTCGCCGGATGACGGCTATAACGTCAGCTTGGCGGAGGCAGCATCATGACGTGATCGCCCGTGTGGTGTTTGGCGTGAGCTGCCGGCGGTGAGAGGGTTTCCTGCGCCTGCCGCAAGTCCCGCGACACGCCGGCGCTACTTTGGCTCCGTTTTATTGGCAGCAGCAACCTGCTGACGGTGCGGTTTCTGCAATGCGACGAGCCGCGCAGGAAGGGGCGTCGGGATGATGGTCATGGTGCTGCCGCAGCGTGCCGCACATTGCTCTCAGTCTGTTGCGGGGCTTGCGGAGAGCCCGGCGCAACGCTGGACGCCGTGGCGCGGCGCGGCGGATGCCGAGAGAGCTGTTTTGGTGGCGGTGGTGGCGTTCTTGTGCGAGGCGGCCTCGTAGTTCCCATAGCAGCGGCCATCGCGTCCGTCAGGCCTGTCGTTGCTTCCCTGCCTTCTATTCCCGCGGGCCGCCGCCGTGGCGCGGAATGAAAGACCGTTGGAAGAAGAAAGCAGGCTTCCGCGCGTGGCCACCACCAACGATGAACTGCCACAATTGCGTGCTGTCCCGCGGACGGTACCCGGCGCTTTGAGCCCACGGCGACTTGTGTGTTCCCCTTTCTCTTCCCACTTTCTCCGCGGCAATCCCCCTGCAAAGAGAAGATCTTGACACCATTGTTTTAGGCATAATAGAAGTTCCACAAACAACATCCGAAGGACACACAGGCAGGCACCGACTACGATGGGGAAAACAGTCGTTGGGGCCAGTAGGATGTTCTGGCTAATGTTTTTCGTGCCGCTTCTTCTTGCGCTCTGCCCCAGCGAGCCCGCGCATGCCCTGGCACCCGAATCGAGCCGAGTTGAGCTGTTTAAGCGGCAAAGCTCGAAGGTGCCATTTGAAAAGGACGGCAAAGTCACCGAGCGGGTTGTCCACTCGTTCCGCCTCCCCGCCCTTGTTAATGTGGACGGGGTGATGGTTGCCATCGCGGACGCTCGCTACGAAACATCCAATGACAACTCCCTCATTGATACGGTGGCGAAGTACAGCGTGGACGATGGGGAGACGTGGGAGACCCAAATTGCCATCAAGAACAGTCGTGCATCGTCTGTTTCTCGTGTGGTGGATCCCACAGTGATTGTGAAGGGCAACAAGCTTTACGTCCTGGTTGGAAGCTACAATAGTTCGAGAAGCTACTGGACGTCGCATGGTGATGCGAGAGACTGGGATATTCTGCTTGCCGTTGGTGAGGTCACGAAGTCCACTGCGGGCGGCAAGACAACTGCGAGTATCAAATGGGGGAGCCCCGTGTCACTGAAGAAGTTTTTTCCGGCAGAAATGGAAGGAATGCACACAAATCAATTTCTTGGCGGTGCGGGTGTTGCCATTGTGGCGTCCAACGGGAATCTTGTGTACCCTGTGCAGGTTACGAACAAAAAGAAGCAAGTTTTTTCCAAGATCTTCTACTCGGAAGACGAGGGCAAGACGTGGAAGTTTGGGAAGGGCAGGAGTGATTTTGGCTGCTCTGAACCTGTGGCCCTTGAGTGGGAGGGGAAGCTCATCATAAACACCCGAGTTGACTGGACACGCCGTCTGGTGTACGAGTCCAGTGACATGGGGAATACGTGGGTGGAGGCTGTCGGCACGCTCTCGCGTGTGTGGGGCCCCTCACCAAAATCGGACCAGCCCGGCAGTCAGAGCAGCTTCACTGCCGTGACCATCGAAGGAATGCGTGTGATGCTCTTCACACACCCGCTGAATTTTAAGGGAAGGTGGCTGCGCGACCGACTGAACCTCTGGCTGACGGATAACCAGCGCATTTATAACGTTGGGCAAGTATCCATTGGTGATGAAAATTCCGCCTACAGCTCCGTCCTGTACAAGGATGATAAGCTGTACTGTTTGCATGAGATCAACACTAACGAGGTGTACAGCCTTGTTTTTGCACGCCTGGTTGGCGAGCTACGGATCATTAAATCAGTGCTGCAGTCCTGGAAGAATTGGGACAGCCACCTGTCCAGCATTTGCACCCCTGCTGATCCAGCCGCTTCGTCGTCAGAGCGTGGTTGTGGTCCCGCTGTCACCACGGTTGGTCTTGTTGGCTTTTTGTCCGGCAATGCCTCCCAAAACGTATGGGAGGATGCGTACCGCTGCGTCAACGCGAGCACGGCAAATGCGGAGAGGGTTCCGAACGGTTTGAAGTTTGCGGGGGTTGGCGGAGGGGCGCTTTGGCCGGTGAGCCAGCAGGGGCAGAATCAACGGTATCGTTTTGCAAACCACGCGTTCACGCTGGTGGCGTCGGTGACGATTCACGAGGCTCCGAGGGACGCGACTCCTCTGCTGGGTGCGAGCCTGGACTCTTCTGGTGGCAAAAAACTCCTGGGGCTCTCGTACGACGAGAAGCACCAGTGGCAGCCAATATACGGATCAACGCCGGTGACGCCGACGGGATCGTGGGAGACGGGTAAGAGGTACCACGTGGTTCTTACGATGTCGAATAAAATTGGCTCCGTGTACATTGATGGAGAACCTCTGGAGGGTTCAGGGCAGACCGTTGTGCCAGACGGGAGGACGCCTGACATCTCCCACTTCTACGTTGGCGGGTATAAAAGGAGTGATATGCCAACCATAAGCCACGTGACGGTGAATAATGTTCTTCTTTACAACCGTCAGCTGAATGCCGAGGAGATCAGGACCTTGTTCTTGAGCCAGGACCTGATTGGCACGGAAGCACACATGGACAGCAGCAGCGACAGCAGTGCCCACGGTACGCCCTCGATTCCCGTTGACAGCAGTGCCCACGGTACACCCTCGACTCCCGTTGACAGCAGTGCCCACGCTACGCCCTCAACTCCCGTTGACAGCAGTGCCCACAGTACACCCTCGACTCCCGTTGACAGCAGTGCCCACGGTACGCCCTCGACTCCCGTTGACAGCAGTGCCCACGGTACGCCCTCAACTACCGTTGACAGCAGTGCCCACGGTACGCCCTCAACTCCCGTTGACAGCAGTGCCCACGGTACGCCCTCAACTACCGTTGACAGCAGTGCCCACGCTACGCCCTCAACTCCCGTTGACAGCAGTGCCCACAGTACACCCTCGACTCCCGTTGACAGCAGTGCCCACGGTACGCCCTCGACTCCCGTTGACAGCAGTGCCCACGGTACACCCTCGACTCCCGTTGACAGCAGTGCCCACGGTACGCCCTCGACTCCCGTTGACAGCAGTGCCCACGGTACACCCTCGACTCCCGTTGACAGCAGTGCCCACGGTACACCCTCGACTCCCGTTGACAGCAGTGCCCACGGTAAGCCCTCGACTCCCGTTGACAGCAGTGCCCACGGTACGCCCTCGACTCCCGTTGACAGCAGTGCCCACAGTACGCCCTCAACTCCCGCTGACAGCAGTGCTCACAGTACGCCCTCAACTCCCGCTGGCAACGGTGCCAATGGTACGGTTTTGATTTTGCCCGATGGCGCTGCACTTTCGGCCTTTTCGGGCGGAGGGCTTCTTCTGTGTGCGTGTGCTTTGCTGCTGCACGTGTTCTTTACGGCAGTTTTTTTCTGATGTAGTGAGTCTCCTGACAAATGTAGATAAATTCATAATTGTGGTGTGAACCGTTTGGGTAAATGTGTGTGTGCGCTCTCATAACAAGGAAATGACTTCCAGTAATGTTTTTGTTTTTGTTCTCGAACATTTTGAATAAATCTGCGGACAGATGGGGATGCGTAATTTGAATTTGTTTTTCAGCGCTTTTTGTCACTGGCCCTTTGTTTAAGTGGAGACCGCGTTGGAATGCGGCGAGGGCATTTCTCTGTTTTGATTTCCTTCTTTTTTTTCCTTTGTGTTTCTTCAATTTGACGGTTTGCACGCTGTGCGGTGACGCGTTTTCCCTTGTGACATAAGGGCCAACTGCTTCACAGTGGCACGAGGGCCTGCTATCACGAGGCATTCAGCGACAGGGTCGCCAGTGACTCACTTTGTGTGGCGCAGCTCGAGGAGGTGTCTGGCTGCCGTGGGGCCTCGATGGTTGCCACTTCGCGAGTTTGCAACGAGCCTGCTTCTCGCGGAGGGAGCAGCGAAATATTTTGTTTTTTTGTTTTTGTTTTTGTGTGTGTAAGTTTTGGTTCGGTCTCCCTTGAACTGGGGGACGTTGGGCTTATTGAACCAAACTCTGATTCCCCCAAAACTTCTTTTTTTGGTTTTCTTTTGTTTTTGTTTTTGTGCTGCTGATTTGCACGCTTTCTCACTGTCACCGAAGCCGCGACGGCGGTGTTTGAGTGCCCCCTCACGCTGCTGCTGTGGAATTTGCGTTGCCTTGCGGACATTTCTGTTGGGTCGCATTGCTGTCTACTTCGTTTTTTATTTTTGTGGGTTTGGTGGAGGGGAGTGGGCAGCAGGGGGCGGGCCGAGATGCCTGTGGAGACAGCGACTTTGCGGGGCTCTCTCTCGGCCGTCGTCATTCAACAATCCATTGCGCAGCAGGTTGCCACGAACACCAGCACCAATATTTGTTCGTTTTCCCACTCTTACCGGCGCGTCTAGCCGCACGATGCCATCTGGGTGCCGAGGAGGCGGTTGAGCAGCGGAAAAGGCTTCCTGCTATGAAGCAAATGCCACTGAGAGAACTTTTCGCTGCGTGGATCTTCCTGAATGCCCCGCCGTTGGCGCGCGGCGGAGGTGCCTGGGCATTCTAGAAGCAGATGGCGAAAGGTTTCCTGCGTGTCAACTGGCGTGCCTGTGGAGGTTGGCTGATCCTGCGGTAGCAGAGACCGCTTCCTGGCACCACAGAGCGAGTAGCGGTGAGTGTCTTGGCGAATGGTACAACGCCACTTGTTGCTGGGCTGGGTAGCAAAGCATGTCAGCGGGTCCGTGTGCCATATGGGTGCGATTCCATGCTCCGTGTGTTGTCCGGTTGCCATGGTCTGCGTCGCATGCTGAGCCGCAGGCTCATTAGCATGCACTCCACAATGTCCGTAACAAAACTGCCGGTGCACGGACCGGCCGGCACGCATCAGTGTCAAGAGACGCTGCCAGGTCCGGTCCTTGTTGAGGGCCGCTAGGAGAGACTGGCTTTGTGTCGCCACAAGCGGGGTTTTTACGCCTGTGGTGGATCCGAGGGATAATCAGCCACTCCAGGGCCAGGAGCAGCGCACTGGATTCCGTCCTGCAGCTTCAGGGGCGTGTGCCGCAGTTGTTACTTACTTTCCCTATTATCTGCGAGGAATGCAGGGATGAAGGCGGTATGCCAACGCAGGCTGGCGTGGGAACGTCGAAATCGCCGTCCGCTGCGAGTATCCACGAGCGGTGGCTGTGCAGCGCTAGAACCTCTTCGCGGACTCTGCGCATTTCCCTTATCAGTTCTTTGTCGTCGGTGATTGAGTGGTCTATCGGAAGTTTCGCAGCGATGGTGACCCGGTGAGCGGAGGCCGCAGACCAGGGAGGAATGGAGCCGCGAAAGAACCGCTCTTCGCGTGGTGAGCTCTCGGTGATGCCGTAGTCCTTTGTGTATGCGTCTACGAAGGCATATAGCTCGTGCCGAGATAATGGCGAGATGCGGAAATCTGCGCGAGGCGAAGGCTCAGACGTTGATCTCCGCTCCCAGTCCATCTGACAATTGCGTGTGTTATCAAACATGGAGAGCCGCGTGCAGGCGGACGACATGGAGCGGCGGTATATTTGCTTCTAGGGGTGCGGATTACTGGTCGACAGTTCTCGGAACTCCGCTGACGATGCGTGCCAGACCTGCGTACGTCTCTTGCATCTCATTCCTCGCTGAATCCGTCGCTACTGCCCATATGAGCTCGCTGCCGTAGCGCAATTTGGATGCGCCGTATCCGATGATGAACGTGCGTGGGTCATGTGGAGATGGCCCCGCCTCTTTGTGCGCAATGCAGCGTGGCTGCGATATCCGTTGCGAGGCGGCCGCCACATTTACCGTCAGTTGCGGATCGAGATCCATGCCGAGAAGCTTCGCAGTTCGCGACGCCCACATGGTCATGACTGGGATTTTACATCCAGTCACTTCCAGCGGCCGCTTTCCTTTGCGATCATAGTTTGACTCCGTGTGCGTGGAGAGTGTGAACCAAGCGGCTTTGCACTTTGACGGGATGATGGCCAGGCCACTTTACTGGCCCCGCGCGTGCAGTTTTTTGAGGACCGTGTTGGCTGCGGGAATGGTGTCTTCCCGAGAGTGGCCGTTGATTACAATGGAGAGGTCATCCGCGTGCATGTCTGCTGTGACGCCTGAGAAGCCGTTCAGCAGATTGAGAAGTGGGTGTGCGTAAAGGGAGAGCAAAAATGTGTTCCCAATACGGACCCCTGAGGAACTCCTCGCAGCGTGGAAGACCGATCGCCGTGTCTGTTGCCAACTCGTGTCTTCGCGTAGCGACCACGCAGAAATTTTCCAAGCCACCTTCGGCAGTTCACCCCCGGAATATTGGCCGGCAAGCGACTGAGGACTCGATGAACAGTGAACTCAAAGGCCTTGCTGGAGTCTACCAGCACCAACGGAGCCCGATGGGGTCTGCAGTGGAGCTGGCTTCCAGCACCGCTCTTCTTGGGAAGGTTCGCTTGGAAGTAATCGGTTCTATTATGCTCCACTTCGTGTATCAGGTGTGCCAGCTGCATCGTCGTGGTACGCGTACTACGGCACGCATGCTGGTGCGGACGAGGCGTCCACAGCCAAAGCGGTCTCCTCAATGCCATTTTCTCAGCAGCCTTACCCACGATGGAAGGAAGGCTGATGGGTCGATATGACTCCGTTAGCGCCGGCGATTTACCGGGTTTTAGGACTGGGACGATGGTGGCTCGTCGCCACTGGACCGGAATCGTGCCGGCTGTCCGGCTGTGGTTGATGCGGCGGAGAGGGAGTCGGAGACACTTCGTCGAAAGATGTGGTAGCGCCTCGCTGTAGACTTCGTCCGGTCCGGGGCCTTGCCGTACGGTGTGCTGCGCAGCGCTGCACGCAGTTCCGTACGATTAAAAGAGGCATCCAGAGAGAGGGGAGAGAAGGAACCTATCGAAGATGAGGCGGCCGACTCGTTGTTGTTCTGCGGCCCTAGAAGGGGAGGGAGAAGAATAC